CACCGCCCTTCAGCTCAAGCGAGAGCCAAACATCACAACTTCCCAACTTTGCCCAAGCTTGCTTTGTGCCCACTGGTGAAGCCGCCAAAACAAATTACAGGTGTCGGGAAAAATTGTCAGCTATGGTAGCCAATTCGACTGCTCCAAAAGCCTGAGCCAACAGCCGGGTGAGCTTCCAAGGATACGGTTCAGCATACTTGGTCATGAAAACACCTGAAGGGTGTAAGCCACATAGCGGAAGGTGCGACATGCCGGAATGTGCACAAACACCCCGTTTGGAGCCCCGGCATTGATACTGCATCAAGTGACTGAGGTCGAGGCAAACAGTCAGAAAGCGTGTCGGTTTCTTCCAACGAGTTCCACAAGCACAAAAGGTCACATCTACAAAGGCAACCTGAGGGCATTTGAACAACCGCTTTACCGACGGGCAAAGCCACAACCTGGAACGCTGTGGGTTTTCCAGGGTGAACGGTATGCGCAACACCCGACACTTGTGCAGCAGCCGGCAACTGAAGTACATCAAGGAATTGCCGACGCGCACCTTGAGTTGATCATGTGGCCGTAAATTGCTAAGGCCCAACACATGTTTGTCAGACCTGAGGGGAGGAGGTCCACCAGGCTGATCTCGTGCTCGGGAAAAGGAGTTGCATGGAGTACACAAATGCCCTGCACGAATGACACCGCTGTGGACCCAATTGAAAATCTTTTGTTGGTTGCAACGCTTGGTCAAATCATACTGCTCACCATATTCAATGTCCCACAAAAGCACCGGCCACCCACAACATCGACTGACTGTGCGTCCCAACCTACCAGTCCCAGAAAAAATCTCAATGAACACAGACTCCTTCAATGAGGCCGGCACGCTGTTGTGATGCCGCAGGCCTAGCGCAGGCCCGCAAATGTTCTGACGATGTTCTTTCTGGCGGCCACAGCGTTTTTCTGGACACTTTTGGGGAGGCCTCCGAATAACTGCTGCAACCGACTGCCTTTCTCGTAGTTTCTGACTGACTTCAATGTCAACCACCGGCCGCGGGTCTGAATCTGTTCCAAGGTGCGGTGTCCCTCCACGGCATCGAAAGAGGCCCCTCCGTGCCGGAGACGGTACATGTGAGGCGGGCCCATGCTCTTGAACCCCAACACCTTCCATTGCTCCACCACAAAGTCTGTGACCTCTTCCAAACTGACTGTGAACATGAGGGAGTCCCTCTCCCGACTCTGCAAGCCCAGAAGCCGCACCATGGTTGGCCCCAAGAATGCCTGATGGGGCAAGTCCAGTGACAGCATCTCGTCCCACTGCAAGGTCTTTGATGGGATCCCCTCCTCCAATGGGTGTAGGAGGACAGCAAACTTGTTGAACGACTTGCCCACTTTCCGGAGAGGCGGCACGGACCCGGACACGAGTTCCAAGAGTCAAACATGCCACCTGTTGCAAAACCCTACGCAACTTGAAGCTACTAGCACGTCCCCTATCAAAAGAAACTGCAGCAACCAATGAGTCTGTCAAAATAACCAACTGCTGTGAAAACTGCTCAACTGAACGCACATGATGTCGAAGCGCATGCAGAGTGGCCCTCGCCTCGTACACAGGCATTGAGTCCGGCCTCCTCCACGCATGCCGCCCAACAACCTGCCAGCTCCGATCAACAGCTGAGAAACCAACCGACTTGAAGGACCGGGGCATGGCACCGTCAGTGGAATCCAGCTGAAGTTGATGCCCAAAACCTGTCCTCTCATCCTCAACTTGCACAAACAGTCGGGGGTCCTTTGCAGCCTCATCCTTGAACCTCCAACGCTCGACCTGTGAACCCAACTCTTGCACCTCTGATGTACTCATCTGACTCTGAACCACCCCCAAACCCCATTCTGAAGCATCAACAGCGTACACCTGACGGCTCCAGGGCAAGGTCAGTTGACTGTAAATGAGGGGGGCCAGTCCATCCCACTTCAGCAACTCAGATCGCACACTTTTCCACAAAGGGACGACTGTACCATAGTGCCGCTGAATGAAGGTGTAGACTTCACCAAGGCATGAGAGGCTCTCTCGTCGACAAAGGGAAATGAAAGTAATGTGCCCAATCAGCCTCTCCAGTTGTTGTCCACTGGCGCGGCCCCTCTTGCACACTTCTCTCACAGCCAGCCGAACTCGCCAGAGCCTCCTGTGAGTGGGTCTCAACTCCGCTGCTTTGTTCAACTCCCATCCCAGCAACTGTGTTGAAGCCTCGTCGACCTCAATCTCGTGGACTGTGAGACCCGCGGCACGGAGGCCGCCAACAGCTTTCCAGGAACAACTCTCAACCTCTGCTTTGTCAGTGCCAACCACATGTAGGTTATCAACATACTGTATATGCCAAAAACTACCTTAAGGGGTAGCACAGTTGTCGTGAAGCCGTGTCTCCTTGTTCAAGCCGCTCCTCTCACATATGCGCTCATTCACTGTCTGACACCAATAGAGAGCCCAAGCCCATCCCATTGGCACCACCTTCACTCGAGGATACACCCAATCTCCTTTCCGCAACCCGAGCTGCCGCCTGATCTCCTCACCAACATACTCTGCATGCAGGCGCCTGAGGCCAAAGAACTTGCGCAGCTGAGAAGGAAGTTCCAGGGTGTAAAAAGCATTCGCCAGGTCCGCTGAACAAACATGGAGTTCCTCACCCTCAGACACTTGAATCCTGCCAAGGGCCTCCCCACTTGCAAGGTGCACCTTCTTGGGTTCAGTAAACCACGAATTCGACCTCCTGCAGTCCATGATCATGCGAAGACGGTTCTGCTTCTTCTTCACGAAAAACAAACCCACCTCCTCAACTGCAGGCTCTGCACTGAATTCAACCAGGCCCAACCCATGCAGCCTCATCACGAAACCTGCAAAAGTCTTGGAACTGTTGAACTGAGGATCTTGGTAGACCCGCCGCACTCCGCTCTCGATCAACTTGGCCTGAGCCTCTGACGGACCTAGAACTCGAGCGCTGACAAATTCCTGCACTGCTTCTCGCCCGCCTGGACCCCAGAGTGACTCCAATGAGACGGGATTCATCTCACCCGAGGGCAATGAGACCAGGTCAGGATTGTAGGAACCAAGGGGTGAAGAGGTTGGCAAACCCTCATACCCCTCCGAAACCCGAAGCGCCTCAAGGGCTTCTGGGCCAGTGATATCAACCGGAGAGCCAACACCACTGATTGCATGCTCAATAAATTCAAAAACTTGCCTCTGACCAGCACTGAGTATACCACCTGCTTTGCTTGTGGCCCCAAAACTAGTCTTGAGAGTACCTTCAAACGTTCGATTCAGTGCATCCAACGTGTGCTGCACCTCCTCCTCAAAATGCCTCCTCCTGCCCAACCTCTGCTGACAGCCCCGTGAGAGCCTAACATCAGGCCGGCCAGAAAACTGTACCGAAGGCAAGGGAAAAATGTCCCTGGGGATCCTCTGCTGATCTGCTGGTCCCATGGGTATCGCGGCCGGTGCGGGACCTTCTCCCGGCCACACCCGGGACCTCAAGGGTCCGCCTGATTCTTGTCCTTCTTGCCACCCTTCCGAGCGGCCTCCCTCTCCTCCCGGGCCTTCCTCAAATTCTTTGAAAGTTGAGCCTCCCGTTCTGTTTCGCTCTTAACGTGCTCCAAGAGGTCAGGGCAAATCATAAGGGTTGCAAATTGTCTTGTCAAGCCACCAAATGTAGTTTGCTCCTCCAGCGACAAGCGGCCACCCACACTCTTGCTTTCCATCTCCCGTGCCTTCTCAGCGTAGGAAAACTCGATCGTTTGCAATCGTCGAAACTGTACTTCAATGCTCAACAAATTGAAAGCATCAAGCTGGTCAACCAAGAGTGCCTGCCGCAGGAACATGGATATCTGGAAATGCTCCTGTATAGCCCACGAGGAACCATCAGTTTTGGTGACTTGTCGAAGCCGTTCATGATGCCCTTCAAAACCCAGACCCTCAACTGCCAAGTAGTTGACGCACCACTTGGCGGTCCTGGGACCGCTCAACGTCCACTTCACATCCTTCTCTCGGCAGGCCACTGCCACATCCTTCAGGGTGCTCTCTGGACTTCCCAATGCATTGAAAACCACTGGCAAGATTCTGTTGTCACACTCCGAAGGCCTCTGCCAGAATTTGACAAGGTCGGCCCCGTCCACACACTCCACAAAAACCGAACGGCCGTCCACTGTATGCACCTGCTTTGCCCCCCGACTGCGTGCACCCACAACATGAGGCACCTCCTGCCCAAAAACAATGCTGCCAACGCACTCCACAGCTAACCACTTAAGGGTCCCTGCAGGGTGATCCGCTGTTGTCACTGGGCCCACCGGTGCCCCCGCTGCAGGGGGTGCAGGGGCCACCAACCCCGGCCCACCATCTCCACCTCCTCCTCTGCGTTCGTTCTCCGCTGCTCGACGTCCCTCCTCCCTGTATCCAGCCATGGCATTGGCACTGAACAAAGGAAGAGGATATATCTCTGCTGCAACCACTCCAGGAGGATCAATGCCTGGCCCAGGGCGAACTCGGACTCCCCGTAAATCTGAGTTGAGGAGTCCAAGTTCTTCTGCATAGACATCACCGTCCGGGGTCAGGACTATGTAGAGGTCGTCCTTGACATGCTCGAGCACTTGGCGTTCGTGCCAAAGCCGAGGGCCTCCTACATCATACTCGACGAGAACCTGACGGTTCTGCAAAGCCATGCCGCCGAAGCCTGAGTTCCGCCAATTGTCGATGTGCCAGCTGTTTCTGTGAGATCTCAATCGAACCCTCCGACACTCCCGATGGTACTCTTGTGAGCCCAGCTATGGCCCAGCCCAATGCCAACAACACTGCCAACACCAGACCCAGGGTCAATGCAAGTAAACTCACAGGCCCAAGAAATTGTGAAACTCGTACAGAGAACCAGCCAACCTCCGGAGAATTTGGTGGCCTGGCCTCCTTCTGCTCAACTGGCACTCCTGTAGGGAAATGAGGGTCACCTCCACCACCCGACACCTGCTCACGATGGGCTTGGATGATTTGGTGCAACTCCTCTAGCTGCAGGCTAATCTGTCTCTGTTGCCACCAGCTTAGTCCCCAGCCTCCTAGGGCGCCCAGGTTCAAAAGAGTGAGGGCAACGATATATGGCGTTCGAATCAGTCCTAGGCCCATCCCCTCTTGACTTGAGACCGGAGTGTTGCGGCCAAGTTTCACCTCTCATGCTATGTCAAACTTGTAGGTCTACTGTAATAATAAGTGGTTCACTATATTTTCAATCATCCCTAGTTAGGAACACATTGGATGTACAAAAACGTTCAAATTGACAGGAATCTGAGATGAATCTTGTTTCCCTTCAGCAGCTGATGGCCTGCATTGTGTAAGGCATAGTTCACACTGAACGCCATAGGCCTCTCCTCCTTCACGGTCAGCCTCTTCAAGCCAACAAGGAAAACCTCGCCATGAAGGAAAAGGATCATCGAACCAGCCATCCAAATGAACCATCTTGGTGAATCATTGAATCTTAGCGTTTATTTCTGGAGCAAACCAAAACTGCTGAAGATCTGTTCAAAACCCAAAAAATGCATCGCAGTACTCCGAAAAAAGGGACCGGTTCTTTCTGAGGAACGGGGAGCAGCAAGCCTTCAGCCATGGGCGACAGCACCAGGATCGAGAAGCGAAAGGTCTCGGGATTTCGCGCGGTCACGAGGACACCGCGGGTGCTGATCATGGCCACGATGGCAAAGACCGCTGTGCGCTTGGAGCCCAAGTTGTCCTAGTAGTAAGGCCAGGAGCCCAGAAATCGTAGCGTCCTAGTGACTCGAGGTCCTTTGAGTTTGACGAAAAACATCCAATGAGGTCGTTGAGGAGGGTCGTTGAGCCGAAGAAATTGGTCTAAGAGAATGGGGGTCACGATTGTCTCAGTCCACGGAATGCCCCGTCTCGATGGAACAGAACCGGACTTGGAAGACAGGGGTTTCACCTGAAAAAGGGGGGATAAAGAAATCAATTCTGACCGGCTCTGGCATTGAAATCTAGACTTGACCAGCTCTGTTGCCAAAGCTTCAATGGCAAAAATGCTGGCAATACTGGTCCAAATAGATGAGAGGATACCCCACCATCCATATAGAGCACCAGCTTGCTGGTCACTGAATCCAAATTCATCAGTGGCATAGATCACCAAGAGCACTGCCATCACATGGTAGGCGAAGGAAGCAAAGAAGTTCAGGAAGAAGATCCTCAGGACCAAAAACCAGACTCCAACAAAGACTTGTAAAGCTTGAGGTGAGCCACGACACTGGCTCTATTCGAGGCAGACCGGATCTTGCTTCATCTTTGACAAAAAATGTGTTTCTTTGTCTGGCCACCTCACGGCCACCTCTCGGCCAAAGGGGAAAAAAATCAGAATGAGGATCTATTCTTTCGGCCATCGCTATTAGGTTGGAGGCCATCACTATAATTAGAACCTTTAGCACAAAAACACAGCTCAAGCGGTCGAGTGGCATCCAAACACCACAATGAAATCTTGGGCATTGGCAGAAGCATCCCATAGCACGAGCAGTAGGAAGGATGCTACATTCCCGCGTCGAGCCCTGTGATGTCCAGAAGCCCAGTTCCGGAACACAAAAAGGCTCAGGGTGTTTCAGATGACGTTTCTTTGAGGCTTCAAGAACTGATGGCTTTCACTAAGCCTGGTAGACTTTCACTCCCTGACAAATTGCCAGTGTCTTTTGCGCCAGACATATTGAAATAAACCTCATCACGGTCGAGCCCCTAAAACGTGTTTTTTTGTTCGATGGGAGGGATGGCTCTGAAGCTTCGAGGACGTGCAGCAAAGCTTGGCTCTCACAACTGTCCAGTCACATGCCACAACTTCAAGTGCTACTTATCTTAGGCTGGAGGCTGGAGACCATCGCTATTAGGGTTGGAGGCCATCGCTATTAGGGTTGGTGGCCATTCCTATTAACTCTTGTGTCATCTCATTGTCATCTTGTGTCATCTTTCCGAGTTGAGTTCCCGGCCCGTCATTCCTCTGGACGTAGTACTTGGTGATTGGTGACCCACCATCATTCGTAGGTGCAGTCCATGACCTTTTGTGAGGCAAACCACAAGTGCGCTGTGTGTCGGGACAAACCTGTCTCCTTCATCAACACAAATAGACTTTAACGAGAGCGCTCATAGGTTGGAGGCCATTGCTAGTAGGGTGGAGGCCATTCCTATGTCATCTCATTGTCATCTTGTCACCGAAGTGAGCTCCTGACAGCGAGATACTGCCTGAAGAGCCACCCGTCCGAACCAGATCAGTGGGTGGATCGGGTGCTGCCTCAGAACATGAATCTCAAGACGGGAGACTAACAGGTCTTAGAGATGTTGTTTTGTGTTGCTACCTTTTATCCTTCGATATCCTAAGATGAAGCAACCTTAGACCTTAGCTCTTTTTCTTGCCAATCGCCTCATCATTAGCGTTAGCAAGAAGTCACAAGAAAAGCAACAGGAACCGTCAGGGTCCCTCAAGTGCCTCAGGATCACTCTAGAAATCTCCTGTTTCACATCTTTCGCTAAGACTGCAGCCGCACCAATGACGTAGATGTCAGTTCCAGCACCAGAGAAGCTGCCCTGGCGTCGATTTGCCCTTCTGTGGGATCCACGGCCCCGCGACGACGACCCGGCCACGGCCGCATCTTCCGCTGCATTAAATTAACTGATAGCTTCTTTGTTACTACTAGTAAGGCACCTGTTCCTAGTAGCGTGGCACTTGTTCCTATAGCGTGGCACTTGTGACTAAGGCGACCACGGAGACTTGCGTCTTGAAGTTCTCGGCCAAGATCCGGAACACGAAGCTCAAGTCTGGACTTGCAGGCCTCGACCAAGTCGGACTTGGAGCGGACTTGGCCAGATGGCCAGCTTGGAGCGAACTGGGACTGGTTGATACTTGGTGCTTTGCATTGCGCTGAAACAGCTCAGATTCGCTAAGGTTTCCACACGTAGTTGTAAGCGGTTTCCAAGACGGAGGACGTCGTCCCGATCTGAGTGCAAGAAACTCAAAGAAAGTGATCGCCGCGCTGATGCTTCAAAGCGTTCCACAACCACAAATGTGCCTTCACCAACGTACTGGTTGATGTGCCCGCCATGACCTTGCTCCAACCATGTGGTCAAGGTATGTCAGGGTGCAAAGCGTCAAAAAATCCATTGCAAGTCTCCAGATTGAAAGATTGAGGAACCAAGGGAATTGTCTCCAGTCCACTCGGAGAGGTGCGTATTGCTTCACAAATCATGTCCCGACAGTTCGCCAAAGCAAACCGCTGTGCATGTTCTTGCAGAATGCCTCTAGCTGGAGGCCTTTCATGCGAACAAACTTTACCATGACGGGTTCAAATTTGGGCTCAACACATCCAGTTTACATCCTGCAACAAGAAGGCTCGCCCAACATCATGTTGCTTGTGAACAGGATGATCGAAGGCTGCACATTGACAAAACATGACAAAACGAAGGCTGCACCCCAAAACTCTGCTGCGGTCAAGCAACGATGTAGCCCAAGATGGGACATTCTCCGGTGTCTGTGGGGGGATCCCAACCCAAGCGAATCAATGTACCTGAAGGCTCCCAACGAGCAAATATGGCCAGTATATGGCCAGTATCCAAGAAGGCAGTTGATTATAAGTTACGATAGGCGATGCTAGTACTTATGAAAAAGTGTCCGTCCCAGTGACTGACGGAGGTGGACAAAGGCTGCTTTGGAACACTGTTTAAAAGCAAGGTGTTGCCCACTTCGCAAGAAAGTTCCAGTGCAGCTCAAAAATGCTGTCAACTCTTTCGATCACATAATATCACGCCTGAACGTTGCAAAACTCGAAGGTTTCCGACACTTCCTGGAGCTGAGGAATGCTCTGGGATCAGCAGGGTGAGCACCCTCCATTTACAACATCTTACCTATTCATTCCGCATTTGTTTTTGATCATTGCAATCATTGGATGTTTGCTTTGGAGGGAGGGCATGAAAAGGTATATGGCAAGAAACTGATAGTAAACTGTAAGCATGCAAAATATTGCTGGTTGCAAGGACGCAGTTAGAGTTTGTGTTTTTGAGATTCCAGAGTTCCACTTCTGCGCCTGGTTCGTTGCAAGGCGACACGCTCATCACCTGCCAGCCATTAAGTCCAGGACACTGACGTTGAAAAGTGGACTTTAAGGAACCTAATAGCGATGGCCTCCAACCTTTTAGCGCCGTTGATGGCACTTTCTGGTTTCTCTACGTGGCGGTGAGGGAGGGATAGGCCGTCGAAGTAGCTACAACCAGGAGCTGACAAGTAAGGAGTAGCTACTAAGCTTCAGTAAGTAGCTTCATAGGCTTTGGACACAGAAGGGCCCATGCTTAATGATTGGCTTCCTAGACTTTTGGGGAACCTTACTTCTGTCTTTCTCCAGACCTTTACCGTAGACCTTCCGTTCTTTCCTTTCCTTTGCTTTTCTTTGTTTTCGAAGAAAGAAACATCTCTAGACTGGGCCTGACATGACTCGAGCAAACGTTCAACCCAAACAAAATCGACCTTGAACCTTTCCATGGTCACACCATTGCCGCCCGATTTTGACCACCACGGTGACCAGTGTTTAAGCTTGGATCCCCTTCCGAGCCCTGCGCGTTCAGGGCTCCCGGCCGCTGGAAGACCTTCGCCTTTGGCGGTGAAGGCCTTCACCTGGCGATGTATCCGGCGATGGATACAGGTGATGGGACGAGTGGGGGAGCGAGCAGTAGCCACCTCCGAACGGTAGGTGTAGCCAGTGGCAAGGCCCACTTTCTGGAAGGTGGTCCTTGGTTTCGCAGTAAGATGCTGGCGAAACCTGCAGAAAGTTGAGAATCCCACGCAGTGCCGGAGTATTCTTCCACCAATGGCCCTCCAAGTGCATCATCCATGTAGACCTCCAATGCCATGTGAAGTTACAGTCCAAACTGCACACCGCCCCTTGCACTGTAAAATACTGTAACAATGCCATGCGGGTCCTAGGGACGTTGCATATAGAATCAGCATGAAACAGCCGGCAAGAGATGCATGCAAGATGATTGCCCCTAGTAGCGTCCTTGCTCCTAGTGGCGATGCCTTTTGCTCCTGGTAGCTTCTTGTAAGGACAGGAGCCCCTAGTAAGCGTCCTCGCTCCTAGTGCTTATGTCAAGACAATGAATGGCATGGAATGGCAATGATCAGGCAGGGCAGCAATGCACTCGGCCTTGTAGCCCAAGACGGGGAGACCGCCACTGTCAACGGGTGGATCCCAGGCTAAAGTCACCGAGACCAAAGTGGAGGCCTCATGGTGCATGTCACTGCTCCGCTTCGGCCCAGAACGAATTGCTAACAAGGTCTGTTTCAGTCACCAAGAATTTTCATGAATCAGTCAGAATGTCTAAGCTTCATTCTATGTAACATGATGTGACATGTCTAAGTCTGGCAAAGACCCTGAACCTCTTTTCAACTGGTAGTTCATGACTGTCTCCGACCGAGTTTCAGTAGAAAGACCCCAATCGCTCGCTGGGTCTCACGCTGTCAAATGAATGTTCGCCGGTGCTGTGGACAGCTCGGCAGAGTAATAGACCTGGCGAGGTCCGGAAAAATGACAGTTCCGCATCTTCGAACTCGTCGACCGAAACGAGGAACCCAACGTCGTCTCCGAAATCATCTGGCTTCTCTCGTATTCAATCGTCCAATGTCATGCGGTCCAAACCCTGATTCCACGCGAGCGTACTGCGTACGTCGTAGGTGGAACGGGCCAATCCAGGCCGGGCGGCTTCGGAAACGGTCCCAAGAATCGTAGAGTGCGTCAGAGAGGTTGCGGAAAGAGCCGAATGGATGATCTGAAGTTCTCAGTTTCTCGCCAAGTGCTACGCCTGCGCTACCGCATCTGGGGAGCTTGTGGGATGGTGTTCAAAGCGCTTCGAGTTTGGATTCAGTGGGCACTTCACACTCCAGTTCGGCATCTACAGCGATTCCATCAAACTGGAGTCCAGTGTGTCTCACACTGCAGTCTCTTCGGCTGGTATTCTGCCTGGATTCCACTGATTCACTTTGCCGGCCTTTTCTTCCGATGGAAGTAGCTGAAGAATACAGAAACGGGCACTGATTTTAGTTGTTTGCTTGAGGGCCAGAAGCACATCGCCGATGGAGGTAAAGACCTTTACCTTTCTTCCCACAAGGCGTACAAAACCCGCGATCTGTGGTACACCTCCAGCTTTTTCATCACGTTCTGAGTGAAATCTTTCATAAAAGCGAGATTGGGGCATTGGAGATTGTCAATTGCGCCACATGTTTGTCTGCATCAAATATGTAAATGTAACAGCTAGTTTACAGGCAGGGACTTTGCCATGCAGCACAGCTTGTTAGAGTGTTGTTCAACGACAATTGAAACTAACTATTTCTTAAAACTCTGTGACCGGGCTTTAAGTGGACCCAATGATTGGCGGTCAACTTCGAATAACGCAGGAATGTTTCAATGTGCAAGGCTGTCTCGGTTTGGATGTACTGTCCAAAACCCTTAATTACCCTAAACCCTTACTCTGCCCGAAGAGTTGTTGCCAACTGTAGGATTCTGGCAGCTTTGCCTGGGTTGCGCTGCGCGTCCCGGGCAAGGAATGTTGCTCTGCCTGGCGGAAAGGAAGAAACGAAACGAGAGACGGATCAGGAACAGCTACCAGAAGAGTCGCATTCCAAGATATCGTTCTTGTCTGGAAGAGGCAAATGAAGAGGCAAATGCTTTCAATGGCGGCATTCCCCTATAGATCACCAAACTGACGTTTCTGACAATGAACGTTTTGAGTTCTGTTTTACATGCGTTTCATCAGATTTTCCATGAAGTGATGGTTTGTAGATGGTTGGGATGTTATAATTTCTTTACTGATGAGAACTAGAACTCAGTGCCAAAACAAATCACAGGACAGGATGACCATCAGATTCACCGCCGCAACCTGCAGGTAAAGAGTCAGTGGCCGCACTGCACTTCACAGCTCTGAATTCATTCGACTCCCGTTGAGCCTTCAAATATTCTCAAACTAAATCGTAGGAATAAGAAGCTACGATCGGGGCTCCTGGCATCGCTACTAGTCGCTACTACTTCAGAACAAATTAAATTCAATTCTTCATTTGCTCATCGTGGTTCCTTGGTTCCTGGTGGTTCGTTGCAGTTCAAGCACTTCAACCTGCGACTTCCAAGGGTGAGAGGAGTTACGCTCAAAACTCCGTCGGCTCCGTCTCAGTCCGTTAGACGGTACTTGTTTCTACATGTCTTGTCCTTTTCTTGTTCTTTATACATCTTTATACTAGCTTAGCAATCTTTGGCCCTGTCCCGTTTCTGTCTTTTTCCTTCCTTTCCAATGCTTTCTTCTCAACCTCTCTGACCATCTGTCACTAGTAACATGAAGCTACTAGGTGGAGGCCATCGCTAGTAGGTTGGAGGCCAGCACGACTACAGTAACACGACGCCCGGGCGACGCCTCCACTTGCAAGGCTGCGCCAGTGATGAAGACGATCGTATCGGACATGCTACCTGCTGCGCTCGGCCCACGTGGTGAATCCCACCCCGACATGGCGGAGGGGCATACTAATTAGAGTAACTATGAGCAACTACTAGCTACTCGCACTAAGCGTATCTAGAGGCCTATGGCCTATCTAAGAAATTTAGGCTTCTTGTGGCTTTACTAGTAGCTCCTGCATGGCAGGACTATTGGTAGCAAGAAGCTACTAGAAACAAGTGCATCGCATCGCTACTAGTAGCTTCTTGCTATGCACTTGCTACTAGAAGCGATGCACTTGTGGTTTTGCAACAGCTCGGAGGCTTAGGTTGTAACCGACGTCAAGTCTCGCTCCACTCCTTTTCTGTCCTTTTCTCACTTGCGAGGACGCTGAAGGTCACTCAAGACTGACCGCGTGGACTATGACATACTATGTCCGAACGGACTCGCGCTCTCTCTCTCTCAAGTGGGATTGGGATACCGATGAACATATGCTTTACTGGTCACTAGACAAGGTGTTTGGTCCAAAACACAGCTCGCGAGTCACATCGCACACGAAAAGGGGAAGGAGTCGGAAGGAGCCTGGAATCGATCTGATCACTCAGATTCGTCGCATCAAAGTTCCATGAACACTCAAACTTGTGTGGCATTCATTAAGGAAGATCTGTCTCAACTCAATGAAATGTGGCAGATCGAAAGTGACCAATCGAAGCCAAATTACTAACTCGGCTTGCGATTCGCACGGCTCCGCCAGCCCAAAAATCGGCCCAGAGCACCGATCAATCCACCTTCATACCTGCTCACGTGCTCCTTTCATTCAACTCCAAAATGGCAGCCTCGATCATGTCTTGAATCTTGGAGCGATTGTCCTTTTCGTTCAAATGCGCCAAACGGCCCAGGAGCCACTTTTCGGGAGCTTTGTCCTGCGCAGCAAAGAACGCCGCTGCGCATGCCATGTGCCATTCCGCAAGAGGTTTTCCGGTATTTATCGGATTCGGAGCGACAGATTGGTTCCATGTATTTTGTCCAAGGCAAACCGTGTCAAATCTGCAAGTCCTGCTTCTTCAACACTATAGTTATGCTTTTACTTGTTCCTGTTCACCTTGCCCTTTCTTAAAGTGTAATTCACAGCCAAAGCCTTCTGAGACAATGGGAAACGCGAAAGCACCATTCTCCTTGTACTCGGTGGTTTTCTTTCGGTTCTTCATGAGGAGACATTCATCTCCGATGCGCTTGACGGCTTTCATCAGCATCGGATCTTCCTTCCCATGGCCCTCGGCTCGGGGGGGTCGGCACGGATTCCCGGTGCTTTGTGGATCAATCCTTTGCGGAATCTGAAACACCAGCAAGCGCTTCCCTGCCTTTGCCTTCTGGAAAAGACGGTGAACTGCATCCTTCAGCTTCTGGTAGTCTTCATCTCCTTCTCGTTCCTTCTTTATAATACTATCTCGCCGCTTTTGTCCTCTGCTGCGGCTTTGCTGATGGTCAGGATGATGACAATACCTCATGAGAAAACACCAGTTCCAATGACTGTTTGCATCTGTCGGTTTCATGTTGCGTGTAGGCTCATTTGCTGCAAAGATGCTTGCAGTTGGGAATGCGACTGCACTTCTCCCCTTTGTTGCATGGCCTCATTTTGTGGTGCAAACGACCTCTTTATATCTCGACTCTTGAGCCAAGGGGTCAAATGTGGTCAAAGATCAAACTTGATGTAGACCGAGTTGGAAACATGGTTGGAAACATGCTTCACCGCTGATTGAGATCTCCCTCAAAATCAAGGATGGGTGTCTTGCAGTGAGACTTGATTCAATCAAGTTTCTCCTACCCACAGGTAGGAACGGCTTCCCTAAGCTTCCCTGAGGAACTCAAGCTCTACTGACTCTCCTGTGGCATTGCTACTAGTCGCTAGCTTGAAGCTTACATTACAGGCCTGATGGCCATTTGTTGCCATTTCAGCCTTTACAAGAGCATTGTGCAATTTGCTAAGCGGCTTGATGCAATATGGATGTTTTGCATCTCCTTCGTTGGGTTGGTTCCGGTTCCACTGCGCTTGTAGTGCCACTACTAGAGGAGGCATCGCAGGCATTGGGCGTTCATACATCCCCTCATCATCCGTGACCCATGGAATGTCATGCTCGCCGACATTGCCAGCGCACGCAAGCTCTGGAACTGCACCAGTCATCGGCTGCACCATGAAGAGCTAATTGGGCCAATGGCTGCACCGCTGAAAGCATGTGCACTTTGGGAGCGGGACTGAACCTCTGACGTGCTTGGCTGAAGGACCTATTACAACAACCGCGCTTGCTATCTCTATATACATTTTGGAGATTCAAACTGATCCAAAGCTCAAATGCTGTTGGCTCCTGATTTCCTCAGCTGAGACATCCGCATGCAGCTGTATTCCGGCCTGTGCCACTCCAGGCCAATCTGTCAATAGGCCCCACGTCTAGTCCGTCGCGATACCACACCTAAGTCCAGCTGGCAAGCATAGCAAAGCCAGAATAAGCAAACGAATCTCCCTTTCTTCCATGTTTCTTCTCTCGTTCGATCAATTCGACTGGACTCTTAGACCACTAAAAACGAGGAAAGGAAGGAAAGAAAAGGTCTTTGGATTCGGTCTTCAGGGTCGAAACTGCACAAACAAAGAGTACATTCAGAAGAGTGTATTTGTTTGGAAATCACACCCCCTGCACTCCCTCCCTCTTACCATTCGGCATCGCCTCATAACGAATGATGGGAGATCCACCATCATCCGAAGGTGCCGTCCAGCTCACGACCGTCTCAGTACCTTAAGAGGGCGGATCATTCTTCTTCATATCGCAATGTTTTCCTTTAAGGACCTTTCTTATCCGTTCTTTCTATTTTTCTAATAGCGATGGCCTCCAACCTAATAGCTATCTATTAGATCTTTCTCTTTTTCTATGTCCTTCTCTTTTTGTTCCTAGCTTTAAAAAGAAGACTCGCCAGCGAGTTGTGGTCTTCTTCCGATCAGTTGGATTTCAGGTCTGCCCTCGCCTTCGGACGCAGTGATTCTCTGGGTCTCCGCACGCGAGTTGTCTGCAAAAGTGACCATGGTGGGCTGTCCAGCTTGACCCGCGCAAAGCATCGAGGCCTTAGCGGTGTTCTCTCCACGCAAAGCAAACAAGCAAACGAAGAAGCGGCCGCAAGGGCCGCACGTGACGGGGATTCCCAGTGGTTTTCCGAATTTCTGGTGCCTTCGGAATGACATGGAGTGACCTGCAGCAGGTTGTTTGAAACAGGCTTTCCAAGCGCTGCCCCGCAGAAACGCTCACGGAAATACGGACGCAATACCCATCTCGGCACTAGGCATCCACACCACATCGGATTTCTCTCCTTCACCTGCTGCGTTGATGGCTGAGACTTTGTAGTGGTACCTGCCAGTGCCTATAGACCGCAGCAAAGCTCCGACAGCGTCAGGGACTCTCCATGCAATTGGCATAGCAAAACCACCCAACTTTTTCATATTCGAGAAGCTCTTCATGATCTTCATGAGGCAAGCTCTTAGGCTCTCAGGTCATGACAAGTATCACAGAATCTGTGGAGGTCTAAAGTCTCACAAAGTCCGGTTGCTCGAAAAAGAGGCATGCGAGTCTCCTGCATTTCTTTGAACCTGCTGCATGCAAAAGGCGCGGCGCACGTGAAGTTGGTGGTGAGGCTCAGGGATTCGAAGGCTGTTGCTGCCCCCTCGTAGATTTGATAGTACGCGCCACCTTCCAACGCCTGCACTGAACGAAAACGTGAACGATCACGGCGATCTATCAATCATTGGAACTTCAACGAAGCTCTAAGTCTTTATTTCGAGCTGCACAACACATCGAAACTTTAAAGAAACACACCTGCACCTTGCAAAAGCCACGTGAACGCGGTGTAGTTTCTTTCGGTTTGCTTCGCGCGAAATCGCCTGGTAGAGCCTATAGCTGATGATGGTGGAGCCCATGTTGTCAGGAGCAGACCACCTGAAGGACCCCCTCTCCCGGTCCTGTCTCCAAGCCCAACCATTGTGTCGTATAAGGGCTTCCAACACTTTTCCTGCATGTTCGAGCTCGAAAGAAAAGAGCAGCACATCTCAGAAAAAAAAAAAAAGCAAAATAGAAACCATTTAGTTATATTTAATTTATAGAGAACATGAAGATTTCGGAAAAGGAAACCAGACCTGCTTAAAGCAAGAAAGGAAAGTGAAGGCATGAAACAAACATCGGACGTTTGCACAGGACTCCAGCCGCTGGTCGTAATAAGGTCCTCACACGACAGTAATCGATGTTCGTGTGGAAGTGGACCGAAGTGGGGCTGCCATCCTTGTGAAGCGTCAAACACACTCTCCAGTGATGATGTGACCACCACATCTCGCCCCAAGAGTTCTGAAGATGGCTTCGTCATGGTATTCACGCGATCGATCTGTGATTCGAACAACATGAAAAGTGGAAGAAACATGTTCTTGGGAGGGGCTTCGTGGGAGCGGCTGTGATCATCACCTGAGCCTGTGGCTTGGCTGGAGAGGTCGCACATACCGTTACCACCTGCACTGTCGGTGCCACATGGCTGACTGTGCTGTAGTTAGAGAGCAAGTCTGCAACTCTAGTGAGAGTCTTTGAGTGGTAGTAGTGTTGTCTAAATAGCAAGAAAATAAAGCTGCAGTGTGCGCCGGATGCCTCTGTGCCGTATTTGCCCCAGCCAACAGCATTTCGAGCTCGGATTCGGAACTTTACTTCGTTGCCTCCAAAAGCGGCAAAACTAGAAGCAACTGGCTTGCAGAAAAGCTCTTCAAACATAAACATTAAGCTATATAAAATGGACTAGTCTAGTGCAAATCAGCTCCTAGATCAAGCCTGTCTTTAGAGCATCAAAACCATTGAAGAACACAGCATGGCTTCAACATTGAGTGCGCCACCTTTAGTACATCCCTGTGTGAGGGTTGAAAGGTCAGTGGCTGCATTTGTAGCGACCTCATCCAAAATGTTAGAGAGAGCGAGCCGTCGACCGAAAATGGTGGCATGATGGAAAGATCAAGAAAGAAAGAAATAGCCTTCGGATGGAGGCCCTTGCTAGCAGTAGAATAGCCTTAGCCTGAAAATGTCTCAAAGTCTCTGAGGAAAACAACTAAAAAAAACTTCAGTCAACGCTCTCGACTTCAGTCAACTGCGCTCCAGACCACCACCCATCCTTGGTTGTTCTCGTTGGAGGAGATCTCATAGAGATCAACCTCAAAAGGCGGATGACGGTGTCATCCGCGCACGCGGACGACGCGGACGCGGAAACGGATGCGATTCCGAGACTCCGGCAGCTACCCCGCCATTCACCAGGCTTGGAGGGAAATCCACCTGACATGGAGCGAAATCTGGTGACATCTTGCAGGAATGCTGGAATGCCTCTTGTCGCCTTAAGGCTTAGATCGAACCAGCAACAATGCTAGAGGCCCGTAAACCTTCCCCTCAGAAAAGCAGAAAAAGAACAAACGCTAAAGCTTTCCTAAGTCATGCGCAGGGTTTTTCTCGTCCAGTCCCTATAGTAACTAGTAGTTTCTTCAGCTACTAGCTCCTGGTTTCGAACTGCACCTCCCAATAACAATCAACATAGTCATAATATAAGACATTTAGTGCAAAGGTGAGATGTTCCAGACTGTTCTAGTTACTAGTTTTGTACCAAAGCGATTCGGGTGGTAACACATGCAAAGCTTCGCCTTGATGTCACCGATGGCCGGGTACTGGAAGTAGATTGCGCCTGCTGCGTGATCGATCCCTTCAAATGACCATTTCGGCGATTTCACATGCGATGTGATTCCCGTCATCTGTTGGATCTTCTGATACCCCCAAAAGTAAGCAGCAATGAAGTTGGGCCCAAAGGAGATATGCAAAACGGACTCACGTGTGAAGAACTCTCCACCTGGTGGGTCAGGTGTCTGCGCTGCATGTCCACATACAGCATCACTGAGCCGTGGCCTGAATGTTTCGAGTCATCGTGTTTAGACATTAAGGTGATTCCAAGAAGCGGTACATGGCAGGCATACTGCGCTGTCATGTTGAAGCCTTTTGATGTTGAATCACACTTGCATTGGCATGTTCCTGATATCACTTCAAGCCGTTTCTGCCAAGTTGCTGCTGATCCTCCAAGGCATTGGTCTCTGTGACAAAGTTCAAGGCAGCTACTTTGAAGCAATAGCTACCTGCAAACTGTGGAGATAACTTCGGGTTTTGCTCGTCGAAATGTTGCTGCAGCACCAGGCCCTGCTTATTGTAAATCCGGTCGTCTCAACTTCATCTTGCTGTTCTTTTTCTTTAGGCGGTTGGCCGTTGGTCCCTTCTTCCTTTCCGTATGTTCCATCACTTGTTTCATCAACCAATCATGAACATGTCCACACAACAGCAACCTGACAGCAACACGACAGCCGCTGCTCGTGCGATGTTCTCCCATTTTCGCTGAGAGCACATTGACTCCGCCGAAGCTCGTCAGCACCGACGAGCTCAGTTGTTGCCCATCTCTTGAAGATGCATCACACGCTGATCCGATTTGGTGACCTGGCTGCAAATCACTTAGTACATTTCACCACTTCACTACTCCAAATCGTCGTAGATTTCATGGACTATACAGACTGCCAGTCCCATATTTGAAAATAACTCTGACAAGAATGCCTCATGGAAACACAGTATGGTGTGGGAGTTGTGAAGTCCAAGAGGCACCTGCTTCTCTCTAAGCAAACACAGTATGGTGTTTCCCCTCGCGTCCCAAGGCCGTGGCATATCTGTCCCCTTTTTCGTGCTCCACCACGACTCTGTCCAACCCCACCTGAGTCTCCAAGGCATCCAAGGGTGTCCTGCGTTCGGTCGTGAAAAACCATAGGCTGAAGCAATAAGCAATGGCCTCCAACCTACTAGCTATGGTCTCCAACCTATTTTTTTTCTAGCGCGAACAAAAGAAAAAGAACATATGATGAGGTGAATCCAATGAATCCAATGCAGATCGGACCAACCCGCTGCACCCGGTTGGGTGCCAACCAGATCGGACCAACGATCCGACGGCTGACAGGGGCTTGATCGCGAACCTGACCAGCGACCTGTGTTTGGGCTTTCGCAAAAGAATGTGAGAAGTTCTTGAGCGACCTGTGTTGGAGTTGGTACACTTTTCATCATAGAGGTTCTTGAAGCTGCTCAACTTGCAAGCTGATACAATGTTCATCGCCCGTCTCTGCTTGGACTTCGAAAATTGCAAAGATCGGTCCTCTTCGGCTCCTGAGCTATCGGTTATCGAGCGACGGCAAGGTCGAGTCTACACAGCGACAGCTCTTTGAGTGCTGTGCCATCCCTTCCACATTCAAAGCTTCCACCATGTCATCATCATCCTCCTCACGCCAAAGCACGTGATCGTCGGGTCCTTTGAGATCGTGTCTGTCATATCGTGTCTGTCTTGCGCCTATGAAAGAAAGATTCCATGGGTGTGAAAAACATTTAAAAACACACATTGTACCATGTTGTGATCACATTGCGCATCTTGCCTCATCTTCTTCAGATGAACATCTTTCATGAATGCGGAAGATCACCCTGGACGGGCGCAGGTCAAGCACAGCAGCTAGCAGCTAGCAGCTTCACATAGCTAGCTGATTTTGGCAAGAAATGCGGTCGTCTTGCTGCCAAAGCTGCGGTGTACAAATCAAGAAGATGGAGCAAAGGACGAAGACCTCCATTGTGAGCGTTCGTTGTCTTGGAGGTCGAAGAGAACACAACGAATATGACAGGCCGTTGGTTCGGCAATATGACAGTCCGTTGCATGACCCACTTTGACGAATCCGCGTGCCTTGCAATATCTCTCGATCACAATTATCTTTTGCCTGGCGGGTGAAGAAGAGAACACGTTAGTGCAGATCGCTACGCTATGCAGTTGCTTGAAGCCTCGTCTTGTTTGGCAACGTCTCCGAACCCTTGCGAGAACCAACTATTCCAGGCCTCGCTGGGGAAAGTGTCTCTTGCTGTGGGATTGCTGGAGCTTTGAATGCCTCAGTGTCACAGTCGTCATCATTCAAAGTCCAAAAGGCCTCCGTCTCTTTCTCCCATCGCTATAGGTTGGAGGCCATCGCTTCTAGGTTGGAGGCCATTAGAATTAGTGCCAAGCAGCCTCCCAATCCATGTTCACCATGTGAAGCCTTCGAGAAGGCCCAAAGGGTTGAACCTGGACACAGTAGCGATGCACTTGTTCCGTTCGCAGCGAACATTGCTCCGTTCGTAGTAAGGCCAGGAGCACCTAATAGCTTCTTGTTACTACTAGTAAGGCACTTGTTACTAGTAGCGATGCACTTGTTTCTACTAGCTTCTTCTTACTACTAGTAAGGCACTTGTTACTAGTAGCGATGCACTTGTTTCTACTAGCTTCTTCTTACTACTAGATGCACTTGTTACTAGTAGCGATGCACTTGTTTCTACTAGCTTCTATTTTTCTCATTTGTTTTCCAAGGTTCATCACTTTCTGCAAGACTCTGTGTGAAAATACAGTTTCAAGTCATGGAATGTCATAGAACATAATCCCCCTTAAAAACAAACACTTCCTCCCAGTAGCTACAGCCGCAAACTACTCCTTCCCCACAAGAGTCAGTTAAATCTCACAGTTCAATCCGTCTCCACATGACGTTTCGGATTCGTCTCGAGGCCTGTCTGGCATTGCCATGAACAGAGTTGGCAAGTTCCGTCTCTTCCAACAGCACTGACAACCTCGCAAAACCCGCTGCGCGGAAGTGATTCACCCCACGCGTGAAATCCAACGACCCTTGACATGGCATGCCATTGGCGAAGACTCTTGCGCAAAGAGTTTTGCCGAGCTGGGAATTCCATGTTTAAAACGATTACATTGCAATACTTGATGGCATTTAATGTCACTGCAAGGCAGCCCTTTAAGATCCTTTAAGGCATGACATCTTCTGAGACGTGCTGAGGCCACCGGCTGCTTGATGTCGGCTGGCTGCGGCTCCCCTGAGTCAAATCTTCTCTTCCAAGAGATGTCATCGGCGGCCATAGAGAACCATAGAGATCATAGAGAACCATGCCATGGATTCCTTCTTTCCTTTTCTTTCCTCACTTAGACTAGCACATCTTCGCCCGCCTAGCACAAACCACCGGACGTTTGGTGTACAGGGAGGACGAGGAACGCTGCCTTCGTAACCTGCCAATCACACGTCGAAGCGATGATAGTAATGTCCGTCTACTACTGAAAGCAAAAGCCAGCCATAGATCGAACATGGCACTTCACAACATATAACATTGAGCTGCATATTTGGGTACTCTGCGCTTCACGATGGAGCCAGTATGCAGCCTGCGCACAAGGCGTCCTGCAAGCGTCACCTTCAAACGCTTCTATGACGCGGTTCTCCACACGAGATTTTGCAAGCCTTCTCAGGGGATCGTGGTGAGAACAGACTAGCAGCTCTTAGCAAGGAGGTCTAAAACGCACAGAAACGACCCATTGTGCCAAAGGCAGTGCCCAGGCCGACTCGGGAGAGAATTGAAGCGACCAGAATGTCAGGTGTCCATCCAAAGGACACACTACTAGCAATGGCCTGAGAACCCTTCCCAACGCCCAAAGCCGTTGCAAAGCCTTCGCAAGCTTTCATGCAGAAGCCAGAACTTGCTGAACCTCCTACAGCCTACTTTAGCCTGGGCCTCAACTAGTGACTAGATTCTTGATTCTTAATGCAGCCTCTAAGCCATAGGCTGTTCAGCCTCCACCAGCAACACGCATTGCAGCCGTTAAACGTGCCAATGCAAGGTGCCTACGCAAGCAAATACATCGTACTCAAGCCCTTTCTTTATCTAAGATGCATCATTAAGAAAATATAAAAGCAGATCAAATCAACACGCGTATCTAGAAAGTGTTGGACGTCGTTGCTGATTTCTGAACAGGCAGGAAACCATAGAGCGTTGTGCCAGCTCCCAGCACGGCTTTCAACTCCAAAGGGGCCGAATCCTGCCAACAAAAGATACCAAAATACCGTGCCCCGCTAGTGAGACAAATGGCCTCCAACCTAAAAACGCGATGGCCTCCAACCTAATAGCGATGGCCTCCAACCTAGTGAAACAAGTATGAAGAGAAGAAAATTGAAAGTGCCTCAATATCTTTGATGTTGGTTTTTGTAGTCATTGCGTCACATCTTTTCTTCTCACAGTTGTAAGCAGGTCCTTGATTTCAACCTACAAACCTCTCTATATTATAGTTGCCCATCGCCGAAAAAATCACACTTACTCAAACATCGAACATATTGTAATTACACTTGGACAACTCCATCTCCAATCATCATTGTCCACATTGTCATTGGAAGCAAGTCTTCTCACTTCTCCAAAGTCCAAAGCACCGCCCCTTCGGCTCCTTTTCTCTGGCAGAGGCCAAAGCTTTGTGGAGCCACCTCGAAATGCCGTCTTCTTCACTCAAGTCACGTCAAACCACAACCGAGCCGTAGCGATGGCCTCCAACCTAATAGCTATCCAAGAGTTTGTCATCATGCCCTATCATGCCCTATCATGCCCTCAACCAGCTGATGGTGTGACAGAAGCTGACTTCGCAAATCGCGCCTGACCAATGCTGTGGCCGTGCCGTTCATCTCCCCCAGGAAGACCGGTGAGGCGCGCAACACGAACATCGACAAGACCTTTGAACCACTCGAAATGACCGTAGCTCGAGAGAACGAACATCCAAACAAAATGCATCGTCACACTTTCAGCACAAGTTCTCGAGTTCTCGAACATGTGTAACATGAAAAGAGTGCGCAATCTTGAAACGGTCTAGCAGGAAGCATCCCTTTATTTCCGATCCCTTTATCAATCAGAGGTGCACCGCTAGTCGGTTGGAGGCCATCGCTCGTCGGTTCTTTCGCGGCGAGACCCTGGCCACCCGATGACCAGCATACTTTCTGTTCTGAGCCTCAACGACGCTTGTGACCTGCAGATGTCAGCCCGTGCCGATGTGTATACTCGATGTTGTTGTTTTCTTTTCTTTGACCTTATGTTACTTGTTTTGTTTTTCCGGTTTCTTCCCTTTTTTTCTTTAGACCGTTGGCTTTAGAACCTCCAGACCGTTCTACGTCGACCTGACCGGTCGACCGCGCCTCGTCTTGCAGCTTGTTGGTATGGCCCAGGACGACCTGCGGTGGTCCCGCGGTGATGGCAAACCCGTGATAGCGCGTGATGTTTCGCATAATGTACACTGTATGGATATAAAATGATATAAATTTGTTTGTTTATTACAAGATGTAGCTTTTTCATGTGATCACTGTAGTCTCTCATCACTTTTTGGGACATGCACGCAGGTTGGCAGGTTGCTTATCGCTTCTGATATCAAGCAGAAATTGGTGTTGCTAGGAAATAGAAGAAGGGCTTCAGGTGCAGGGATTCCCGTTTCCTATCAGTTCGTATCCTCTGCGCTGTGCGCAGATGATAAACGAAGTACTGTTCTCTCGTGAACTGCATCAAGTTCTGCTTTGGACATGCTTTGGCACCCTTGCCTTCGCATCCTGCTTCAAAAGAGAAGTGACCTGAGCATGTTTTTCTTCATGCATGGAGAGACTTCGGATCGAAAGGCCAATGGCAGTCCCAGTGGCAGCCGAAACGTCTCCTTTGGCTGCATCCACCCAGTCTAGAGCTTGCTTTGAGCTCCAAAAACCTCCACAAATGCAACATGTGGCGCACTCAGACGCTCCAAAAAGAAAAAAACAACCATCTTAAGTCTAAAAATAGTCGGTTGTCCCTAATGCCCTAATATGTCCCAAAAAACGGTGAACTGCCACGGTTCCGTTCGAAACCTCCCGCCTCCCACGTGCTCAGTCCAAGAAGGCGATCTGCGCCCATCCAGCTGGTCTCGAAGAGACGCCTGGAAGAACGATCGAACGTTAAACGAACGACAACGACTGGAAGAACGATCGGCCAACCTACCAACTTTGGCCTCCTACCAGTCTGAGTTCCTACCTATCAGCTTCTCTCTTTGGAGTTGTTGCGTGTGAAGAAAGGAACGTGTGGAATAACTTGTCTTTCTTTGGGAACTGCTTGACCTCACTTGGTCTGTATCGATGTCCGGTCAGAAACCGGTACAGACCGAGAACTCCGCCTCAGCCCGATGAAGAGCAGCGATTCGGCTCGAGGCATCGTCCAGATCTTCTAAGATCTCTTGCGAGTGCTGCACTAAATCATCCGCACGTGCCAAAGGCAATGGATCCTTGCAATTTGGATGTACAAATGGAGCTTAGAGAGTCCAAACATCAACAAATGTAACATCATCTTTGAAGTGTGGAACAGTCTGTGTCCGTGTCCATTGTCCGCCGATGCTTCGCTCCGCGGTTCAAGAAAGCTCAGGTCAGATCGTGCCAGAACTGCACCTCCATCGCCCAGCTGGCTTGTCGCAAAGTATGCTCGCTAGGCGCGTGTACCTGAAAAGAAGGATTGAAGATCTTGGGAGACGTCAAGTCCATTGAAATCCATCGCTAGTAGGTTGAAGGCCATTGGAGGGATATCTTTGTGAAATCCATTGAAATCCCTTCATGTTCGCCATCATTCGCCTCGATGGCCGACAGGAAGTACTCATCGAAGTCATGATAGCCACTACCAACTTGCACCTGTCAGAGACATGATGAGCATATGAAGACCATATGAAGAGCAATGCAGCATGTAACTTCAGTTCTGGTGTCTGGAAGTCCCTCTGAGGCTCTTTGGAACCCTTGCTGGAGTACACACGTGCATCAGATTTTGAGTTATATGGTTTGATGATATGAGTTGTTACTAATGCCACCCAAAGTATGAAAAACATTATCATAAGTCACAATATGAGATGACTCATCAAGGACCACTGACTTGCAATGTTCAAGATCTTTGGAACTTGCTGGATTTCTACAAGGTCTTAGGTATGGAATGTCTAATGTCCAACAAAAACACAATGTTTCTTGCAAGAAACACCCTGCACTTAGCCACCCTGCACTTTGGAACCATCGACCATCTAGGTCTTAAAGGCCTTCTTTTACTTCCAAGGATGCACCATAGTAGCTTCTTGCTCCGTTCGTAGCGATGCCCTTTGTTCCGTTCGTAGCGAACATTGCTCCTAGTAGTGCCAAAAAGGTGGCAAGAACGTGCCGAGCACGGACCTTCTTCTAACAGTGCCGCCGGTAACGCTCGCGACACCGCTGTCCGCCCGCGCTGTCCGCCCGCGCTGTCCGCCCGCGCTCGCTCACGCCCCGCCTTCCCCACTTGGCTCCGGTCCTTGAAGCGGATGCGAGGCACTCCATCCGGGTCAATCCCGGCCCATTTCACATCCTGGAAACATGGGCGAAAACAAAAGGCGAACAGTCCCTGCGGGACAAAGACCTAAGACCACAATGCCCACCATGTTGAAGAACGAAACTAGCTGCCCTGCGGGCACAATGAAAATAACGACAGATTCTTCAAATTTAATCCTCAATCTTTCGATATATACTGTTGACATAAAAATCAAGTGGGGAAACAATTTCATGGAGGCCATGGCTAGGAGGTTGGAGGCCATTCCTATTAGGTTGGAGGCCATCGCTATTAGGTGGAGGCCATTGCGAACGGAAGTGAAGTCCACTTCTTCGTCCCGGATGGCGGTCGGCGAGACCACGTCGTCTTCGACCCAGAGTGGGCTGGGCGGAGAGTTGGGACCCGTCGTTCCACGTCGTCTTCGCGGCTTGGCGATATCCAGAGTCTTCGAAAAATTCATTCATATCATTCTAAAAAGATCTAAAAAGTCTCTGGATGCTTGAGGTCGGATGAAGATTGGCACTTGATGATCAGTGATTGGCACTTGATGGTAAGGCGGTGTTGGCTTGAGGGGGAAGGGCACGATGGGCACAATGCTTGGGAGGTTATTGACCAGCACAGCCACGTGCTAAATGAGGCGCTCGATACCAACGACTTAAGCTTGATAGATGGCTTGGAGGACGAAGGTGCATTGTTTCCATTGACATCATCTGCCAAGAGACAGATAGATCCCCTTCGTATTCCTTTATCACTCGGATCAACTCCTCTTCGATCTCTGTCTGCGGACCCTGCCTCGACTCGCCACGGAGCATAGCTGAGCCGAATCTGAACATCGCCTTGGAAACAGTTCGAACCCGGGAAGCCGACTGGGCCCAGTACTGGACCGACTGAAAGCCTTTTAGGTTGAAATGGGAAGCAACAAATAGTATTCACATGTGGTTCTTCTCATCAATCTGTGCTGCATTTTGCAATGAACAGTCACTGGGTCGGGCATTCTTGGGCTCGATATCGATGGGCGACTGAAAATGTCCAGCACAAAGCTCACCCCATAGTCCACCCTCCTGACACGCTCAGGACCGACAGTTCCGTACCTGTCACTGGCGAACTGTGGGGAAAAGGGTGGCGAACTCTCCTGTCGAGCATAGTCCCAAGAAGCAGATTCTGCCTGCACCGAAAGAAGCATCGTTAGAAGCCCCAAGCATGCCCCCTCTTCGCAGCTTCTGACCTGCCTAAGGAGAATTTGGACTTCAACTGGCTGCTCCTAGATTAGAATGAGGTAGGTTGGAGGCCATCGCTAGTAGGTTGGAGGCCATTCCTATTGGGTTGGAGGCCATCGCTATTAGTTCCACTGGGATCTACCGGACATCAGCGAACGGCTCGACTGGCCTCGCAGAGGAGGGGCGCCAAGAGATGGAAGAGTTTCATGGCGCATCACCACATCTCAGGTGTCTCTGAGGTTGTCTCTACCATCTGAAAGCTAAACACCTAGAAGGATGATACCAAACCAACGCAGTGAGTATACTGAGTAGACAGGATGGTTCTTTGTTATGTTTTTGGTTCATGCATGTGATCTTCAGTGATCTTCCATGTTCGCCGTGTTTCAACCGGTCATCACCAACTTTCCAGTCACGCTGCTGAACTCGGCAACCGCTTGCTGTGAGAATAGGTCGGACATGAAAAAAGAGATTGACCGGTCTACGTTGGAACGTATGGAAGTGTTGTCCGCCATGTTTGTAAGCAATGCAGGGAGGCGTTCATGGATCTATTCGCCGGTGCAGTGCATCCTGGCTGCACCGAACAATTGGAAGTGTTCAGCATGTAACATGTATATCTGTATATCATTTTCTGAGAAATGAGCTGCATCAGACATCATCGACACAGCTTGCCACAAGGATCGACTCACAAAGAGAAAAAGATTACTGTAGTAACAAAGGGTATCGCTACTAGCAGCGATCGGACGCTACGAACGTAGCTCCTGGCCTTAATACTAGTAGCAAGAAGCTACTAGTACTAGTAATATAAATACATACACAAAAAAGAGCTTCGAGTTGAAAATACAGCAGCCTCCAGAAGCCAATCGATCCACCAATTGAGTGGTGGTGAGACTGTTGGTCTCTCCCCACGTCCTGCCCAGGAAAACGATTTCACGTGATTTCACGTACCAATCATCCAGGGCTCGAAGTATCTAAGTCCAAGACGTGTACGGCTGATCTACAGAGCCAATGTAAATGCGATAGCCTGTGACCGGCACCTGGCGAGGAAGCTGGACGTGTTGAGGGTTGGAAGATGAAGAGATAAGTGAGCTGATGATGAGCTCAGTGCTCTTATGGATCTGCAATCTCTACTAGGGTGCAGGCCATCGTTAGTAGGTTGGAGGCCATCGCTATTAGGGTGGAGGCCATAGCAAGTATGGTTCTCATGGATCTTCAATGATCATGAAGACTTAATGGGCTTACTCCAATTGCGGTCTTGAACAAATACATGGTACCGGAGGTTTCCTGCTCAAATTACTTTTGCAAAGCTCCGCCGCTGCTTTTAATCAATTTCTGCACTCCAATAGCAACGCTTCCAGAAAGTTGGCAAATCTCTGCAACTCCTGAACAGGGCCATGTGAACCGTGTACTGAAGTATGCAGGATTCTAAAAGCAACCCACATTGACGAGAGAAACACAATGATGCATTGCAAATTTTGTCGATAGCAAGGTCACTTACAAAATAGTTTGCACGTCTTACAGGTTGTGATGCGCTTTGATTGCATTGTGCGTGCGCACATGACTTGCTGACGATTCAAGAAAAGGATGTGTGGTTTTGCGCTCTTTGAAGTTTGTCATTGCCTCATCCTCATCATTGTTTCTTGCCTTCTTTGTCTCCTGTCTTTGTTTCTCAACCTGTGGACTGATTTTAGACCGCTTGTTCCTTGTGTCTTTGTCTCCCCAGATCTTGTCAACAATGAGTTCCAGCTAGTGAGCGCTGTCCTTCCAAATTGTTGTGGGACAAAGGTTTACCAGAAGTACACGCAAATGCCAGATCAAACCCATCAAAAAATGTGTGGGAAGGACTCACACATCACTAGGCCTGGGCAAAACCATAAACAAAATAATTGTGGAAGATTGACAGTGGAGATCGACAGAAGCATTCATCGAGCGCCAAAGCGACCAGGTCTGTCCGTGTTGTGGATCGAATGGCCCCCCACTGAACTCATGCACACGTAGCGAAGGTAGAACTGATTCCATGTCTCGAAGCCCACCCGGCGCATCCCAGGAGCAAACAGTGCCTTCCGGACCTTGAGCAAGTGTGTTGAAAATTACACCAGCATAGACCCCAACCAGCTTCAAGACGATTCGTCTAGACCAATACTAGTCCAAAATCGATTTCTTGGTACGCCCTACCTTCAACCCCAAGAGCAAACTGCTTCATCAATGAAGTTTGTCGGCATTGACATCGCTATTTGTTTGGCCACACTCCTCTCCAGTAAGCCGGGCCACAGAGACCACCCACAGAGTTCAGGGGCACGGCCAAGACAAGGACAAGAGAGGACAAGAAGAGGACAAGGCCCAGCCACAGAGCCCAGCCACAGAGGACAAGAGGAGGACAAGGCCTGGACACAGAGCCCAGCCACAGAGGACAAAAGGAGGACAAGGCCTGGACACAGAGCCCAGCGGACAAGAGGAGGACAAGGCCTGGACACAGAGCCCAGCCACAGAGTTCAGGGGCGCGGCCAGTGAGTGTGGCCAGCTTTTCTTTCTATAAGATAGAACCCCAACAGTAAACTGTCTGGGGAAAAACAAACGTGTGATAGCGATAGCCTCCAACCTAATAGCGATGGCCCCTAACCTACTAGCAATAGCCTCCAACCTAATAGCGATGGCCCCTAACGTACTAGCGATGGCCTCCAACCCAATAGCGATGGCCTCCTAATAGCGATGCCCCTAACCTACTAGCGATGGCCTCCAACCTAATAGCGATAGCCTCCAACCCAATAGCGATGGCCCCTAACCTACTAGCCTCCAACCTAATAGCGATGGCCCCTAACCTACTAGCGATAGCCTCCAACCCAATAGCGCCCTAACCTACTAGCGATGGCCTCCAACCTAATAGCGATGGCCTCCAAGCTAATAGCGATCGCCTCAAACCTAATAGCGATGGCCTCCAACTTTGTTTTACTTATATATGTGTTCTTACTACATCTTACTACCCTTTGTTGTTTTCTCTGCTTCTTTGGTTACTAAACATCCCTTCTGTCTTCCTTTCTCCCACCAAACACCAAGAATGCTAAGGGCCCTGGTCTTGGCATTTACTGCACCTTACTACGCACATTAAATGGCTTCGATTGAAAGCCATTTAGGAGTCCTATATACATGACTAAGATTGTCAAGCACGCGCCTGCAACGCAAACATGCACAGGATAGTCAGCAATTCCGGAGACCTTCAAGGCTGCAATCTGTTGCAAGCTCCTCTGACCTGGAAAATGCGCGACACTTGTTTTGTTTATGTTTGTGTTGTCACTAATGATTTTGTGATTTGTGTCATTCAAGTGAGTCATGTGGTGCACATGAACCCATCCACACCTCTTGCCTGGTAGGAAAGTAGGGAAAGTAGGTGTTGGCTCTCATAGTTACTGTATCTTAAGTCATCCAAATGGTTGACTTTACCAGAAAGAGTTTTAATTGACACTTCAATCTTTGGGGACTAACTAAGTGTCATGCTTGCTAATTTGGTATGCATTTCTTATGTGTTGCAAGCACCCATTCTTCAAAATTTGGGCACAGTCTCGCCTCCTACTGCAAAGTTTACAAGAGGACTTGATCTTTTAGAATACTCGTTGGATGAGTTGCTCTGAAAAATTTAGGAACTTGATACCAGCCTATCAAACTCTTTTAGAAGAATGCTTGGCCGCTTTGCTCCCAAAAGCGCGACGCATTGGAGCATTGCTGCGAGCGTTGCGAGCAGTTTGCAGGCAGCTCGAGTCAGATTTGCCCACCTTGCGATGAGTTCAGAACAGTCTGCTTGGCCAAATACCTTGGCATTCTGATCCAAAGAGGCCATGAATCTGTCGGCAAGTCTTGAAGCGTTGCTTAACCCAAGTCGCTGCGCAAAAGGATTGATGCAGCTCCAAACTGCTCCATTCTTCTTGTATACTCTTGGAGGTGAGCTTGCATACCAGCCATCCACCCTCTCTGGGTCGTAGCCTGGAGAATCAGTAGCGAAAAAGTGGCGACGACAACGCGCTGTTCGGAAGCTTGCCACTTTCGAAACATGCTGCAGCGACCGGCGTATATTTAGGTAGATAGATGTAATGTAGATAACTAGGTAGATAGGTCGTTCAGTCTGTCAATCTTTCATGTTCTTCTTTTTGCACGTCTCCTCCTTCACGACAGGTCGTCTCCCAAGTCTTGTCTGCCAAGGCACCAAAAGAGATCAAGGTCTCTCGAGCCTGCTCCTCGGCTCATGGGCCGAGCCAAACGAACATGAGACTCTTCTCATGGCCAGTCAGTCAAACCACGGCAACAATAGCGATGGCCTCCAACCTACTAGCGATACAATATATGTGTTTGCAATATACGACAATGCAGCATAGAACCAAGACTCCCAAGATTTAAATTCTCTTGAGAAGTTCTTGCAATTCTGCAGCTTCTGCCCCTCAAGGGATGGATATGATCGAGGCACGCAATCCTCAGTCTTCCCGTCTGTCAACATCATCGTTCATCCCTTGTACTTTGAGAGTTGCAATGCTGAGACGAGCCACCATATCCTCAATCACCAGCAAGCTCAAATCCTGTGGATAGTCTGCTGCGTACCTCATCGGCTGAAGTGCCTGATGGGTGATCCCTCATGAAACAATACAACAAGGCAAATATGTTCTTAGATGTTTGTGATTTTCACAGGTAACTCTTGAAGGAAAGCTATGTCAAGGCTGAACACAAAAAGAATACATCTGTGCAATTTTCAAGGTAACTACCTCAAACATGATAAAATCTTTCGAAAGAAAAGAAAGATCCGAATTAATTTCTTCAAACAAAACAAGTCTTCAGTCTTTGGTCTTTAGCTGTCTACTGTAGATACCCATGTTCCGTCGAGGCGCTGCATGGCAATGCGCCCACCCATGCTGTGTCCCACCAGGGCGACGCACCCAGAGACGTCGAGCAGCCCTGCGGCCTGGAGGCATCGCGAGCGCTGGGGCGCTCTGTTCGGTTCGCGTCTTCCCTATCAAGTTCCTTCGGTTTCTTTTTTTCGCGAATCTTTCGGTGGGACATGTGGTTGGACATGATCTTCTGAAATGTACTTGTAGCTACTTGGGAAGGTCCCAAGTGTGAGATCAACAGCACATTCCGCCCTTTGAAATGGCGCGGACAACAACAACAACAACAACAGCAGCAGCAGCAACAACAACAACAACAAGAAGACAACTCTTGCTGGGTCAAGTGCGCCCACGTCTCCTGGAGGGTGGATCTGACGTCTGCTGCAAGCTGCTCCGGCGAGAAGTCATCGGCTTTTCCCAGTGGTGATTCCCCATGACCTCCCACGGCGACGGGCGACGGGAGCGCGTTCCGGCGGGGCACGGCCGAATGGACGCCTGTTAGAGTCTCGTGTTTGTTTTTCCCAGTCGACTGGAGTGAGCAGCAGACGAAATACACAAAAAAATGGCCGTCGAAGTCTTGTTCCAATCAGAAATCGCGCAACAACTCAAGTCTTCTCATGTCTCCCTTCTTTTGCTCCTTTCTCCAAACACTTCCACAGGGTCGAAAAAGAAGGGCGGTTCCTGGGTTTGGTGGGGAGTTGTGCCTCTTCGAGCGTATCCGAAGCGAAGCTTCGATTCGATCTGCAGGGATCGGTCGGTGCAGACTGGATCTGCTTCAGTTCGACTCCTGGAATTGAAAGACCATGGCCAAGAATGAACAAACTACCCTAACTACTGGGAAAACATTTGCCACCTAACCTGGGATACATATTTGTACCCCGGTTAGGTGGCAAATGCTTTTGGGCCTCAATGCGGATGACACAAACACGCTTCCCACGCTTCACGACATGCGCGTCACAGTGCCTCGCAAGTCAACAGCCAGCGTGTGCAGGCCGCGTTTCGCCAGATCTTCCATGAGGCTCTCCCAGGTGCCTGAACACGGCGAATCACGGACACTGCAGCAATCGCACCAAGGGGCTTCTGGAGGCCTATAGAGGCCTAGGAGGTTTAGGATATTTTAGGAGCAGGTGTCTTTGTGTCTTTTAAGCCGTGGCCCTGCCTCCTCACTTAGTTCAGTAGGCGCCTAGTCAATTAGGTAAGGAGGCAAGCTACTAGCTTCTGGACGCAGGATAGCTCACACTTCTTCAAGGAAGCTCCCCTTGAAGAAGCACTCACACTGTTCATTTGGTTCCTAGATTTTTTGGCACTGCCGCGGCTCTGCCTGACCAAGAGTCCAGGCCATGGATGAGCACCACAACTTGCTTGACCTGCTTTGCTGGCTGTCCCTGCTCTTGTCCAGCTTCTCGAGATATCAAACGAACACATGACGATGAGTTTTGTGCAGCTTGGGCCACCTGAGCTGAGTGAAATGTCCGACGAGACGAGACGAGGATGTCGCGCCTAAATAGGCATCCCAAGTTCTTCCCCTGTTGGGTCAGTGGGTCGTTTCTTTAACACAAGACCCGGAGGCCATCGCTAGGTTGGAGGCAAGGCCTGGAGCTACTATAGGGTGGAGGCCATCGCTATTAGGTTTATCGTTTTTCTCTCGTTTCGTTATTTTTTCTCTTTCTTTCAAAACGTCGCCCAAATCGCCTCGCCTGACAGTGAGTCCTCCTCTCAGGCTTTGCTGCCAGTGCCAAACAGACAGTGAGTGCTCCTGCCCACCCCCAGAAATTCCGTGGAGCTTGAGCAACGCGCGGAACTGCAACTGCTTTGGCAGTTCTCCAGCTATGTATGAGAGGCCGGGCAAGAGTGGCATGTCTTGCCAAGGCCGCCATGAGGCCTTCACTTCTTTCACTGCAAAGGACTATTTATTTTAGGTTGGAGGCCATCGCTAGTAGGTTCCATGCCTTTTGAATGAGCTATCTGAACGATTGGAGAGTTGAGTCATTTTTGAGTCTCATCCTCCGCTTTGCGTGTCTGTGGTGACAATGTGTGATGCAAACACGCTTGACCGAAGTAACGTTGAGTCCGTGAAATGTTCTGCAGCTTGGGCCTGAAACAGGCTGAAGGAAGCAACATGTTCTCGCCTGTTCTGGTTTCCCTGTCTCATTCTGTCTCATTTTCTGTCTCGGTTTCATCTCATTGTCTCATGTACCTCATGCCAACCCTCCAATTCTCGCCGGGAAGGCCCCTCCATTGAGATTGCTCGGCACTCCCTCCCAGCTCAGGCTAATGCCCGTCGTGGCCATGGAAAGAATCTGAAGACCAACCACCTTCCGTCCAAAAGGTCGAGCCGTTCGGTGGTCGAGCAGTTCGGTGGTCGAGCAGTCCGAGCAGTCCGAGCAGTCCGGCGACGCGGCGAGCGAAACAGTTTGGAACTGTCCACCACACCCTGTCGAAGAGGCCTTGGTGGGTGCTTCCGCTGCGACCACGCTCAGCACCAGTGTGCTGGGAGAAGTGCCAACCTTATCATGACGTCTTCAAACACCTTCAGATAGCTTGAAAGTAAAGGTCTGAAGGTCTCTGGAAAACTGCTCTCAACTGCTCCTCCCAACTGCTCTCTCTCTCTCTCTCTCAATGTGCTAGGCCAAATGCCAGCGTCTCCGCGCGGATGCTGAAGTTGTAGGTCTGGCGCACAACTTCATTTACAGGTGGCTTTATGGGCGGAACTCCTTGAAACAGTCTAGGGCCTAGTAGGGCCTAGTAGGGTTGCAGCGAAACAATGACCCATCCTGGTTACGATGCAAGTACCCTGCCATCCTGGTGACTCATCGTTACCAGGTTCTTGATATGAAAAAACTTCTGAGTTCCACTTCGTCATACGCCCCCGGAGATCGCCGCATGCGCCTGCGCAGGAACCACCACCGGGAGTTGGAACCTTGGGAAGCAAAGCTGCTAAGCTAAGCTGCTGCGAAAGCGCCGTAGATGTTTTTTTGCAACCCCAGCCCATGTTGGTGTGCACGGTTTTGGCATGTGGAGGCTTGCCCGACACTTACGCTAAAACGAAAGCATGTGGAGGCTGCCCTGGTTTCTGCAACAAGGAAGACAGTCAAAAGGTAAGGTCTAAAAACAAAAAACACGTAAACCAAAAAAAACATACCTGGACCTTCCAACTACCCAAAACTTATGGTCGTTGTGGTTTTATGGTCGTTTTGGTCGTTTTGTTTGTTTTGCGTTATTTTGCAGATGTTTGTGGTCATTTGCTGGTTTTTGCGAGCGTTTTGCGCTGATTTACGGTCGTTTTGTCGGTTGCGCTGATTTGCGGGCGTTTGCGCGGAACCCCGGATCAATAACCAAAACTACCAGAATTTTTTGGTCGTTGGAAGATCCGGGTAGAAAGCGAACTCGTGGGATTGTTTTTGGGTGTGCAGGGTGTCGATGCACGTGTGGTCTTTGGTGTTTGTAGCTTTATTCTGGTGTCCAAAGCCTATGATTTCTGGATGTATGTACCCAGTTGTCACTTGTAGATCCAACAAAGGATTTGGCATTCTTTGCAGATCTTGTCACCTGCGATCACGGGTCTTGCCAGGTGTCTGCTTGCCCAAGTTGTTTTTCTCCTTGCTATTATTATAGCATCTGCCCTGGGATTTGTACGATGTTTCAGTATGATGTGTCCTGACCATGTCTCATGAGAATGCCATGAATCTTGAAGCTTGGGCGACGCCTCGCGCAGATGGTGCTTGCTCGCGTTGTCTACCCCAAAAAGAACAAAAACACAACGTCCCTGCGCACATCAAGGTCTTGCTGATGCGAACTATTGACAAGTCCATAACCAAACATGACATAACAGTGGTTCGCATCAGTTGCTCTAATTTTTCATTGGAACACGTTGATCCACTTCTAGTCCCGCTCCACGTGTCAGAACTAAGTTTGGAGCTCCCGCTCAATCTGTGTCGATGCCACCACTCCATCCTTTTCCCCAGGCCAACCATGGAACCAAAATGAATAAAGAGCTATGGTCTGAGGAACTAAAGATTGCCTAAAGAAGAAAAACAAAAAGTTCCTAGAGGTCTTTAACGAAAGAACAACGATAACATAATAATGAAAATATAGTGATTAAACACAATATAACATGTCGATCCAATAAAATGTTTCCTTTTTAGATGTTTCTGTCATCATTTTAGGTTTTGCCAACTCTAAAAACTGCACTTGGCCTGCGTGATGGCATAGGCAGTGACTGGACAGCCGCCTGGAAATCATTCGAACTTCTGTTAACCGAGTGTCCGCCTTTCAGGGTGAACAAGAAATAAAGACTCACAAATCTCTCACAAAAACATCCACTAAAGGCCCACCAAAACGTTCCGAAAGCACTGACCCTCAATGAAAGAGCGACTGCACAACGACCCGACTCCAAAACGAGGATCGTACCGTCAGCGGAGGGTGGCGACCATTCCACGGTGATTCCAAGAGTGGACCTGCGGTGGAGCAGTTGTTTAACTGCTTCATTTCATGATTTCATCTGTTCAGAAAGGCGTCACCTACGGATTTCATGATTGTATAACATGATTTCATAAAATGTGCATACTGTTCAATTACCGTTTCACGTTCTTTCCTTCCACAAAGCAGCGCTTTATTTAAAAAAAAAAAAACTCTGAATCGGAAAGTCAGGCTCACCGTGATTTTACGGTGAAGTTGGTCGGCATTGAGGGCCTCGGAGAGAAACAAAGCTAAAGGGAACACTTGCCTGCAAGCTTAGCAAGCACTCTAGCTTGAACTTTCCTGTTGGCGTTCTTGTTATTTATTTCTATATTGATGATGATTACTAATTACTCTAATAGTAGTAGTAGGAGTAGTAGTAGTAGTAGTAGGTGGTGAGGTGATGTTCTTTTTGAGCAACCAGGTTGCTTGCACTTTCCAGCCTGCAAGTAGCAATCGTGAGGTTGCACATCACTCAGAGTCTTCGACAAAACACAAGCTGCGGCTTCTCGGATGGCACTTCGTTGGCCTTCGCCTAGGAAAGTAGCAGCTCGGTTTGCACTTATTTGCACTCAGAGATCATCAAATAAGCCGAATCTGGTGTGTTCGTGCAATGGGTAGCGCCAATGCAGGAGACTTTTCTCTGCTTAGAAAAAACGTGTACATGGTATAGCTCAGAATTAGGCCAATGTGATTCACTGCAGCAATCCGGAAGAGGTAGATTGTCCCGGTGGTGAGCATCGCCTGAACGAACAAATCTCTGATCACTACCGCTAACTGAACAACTGCAACAGTCTGGACGACTCTGCCTTTGTGTATGCGGTGTCTGGACCGTTGTAGATCTCCTGGTAGACCTCACAGTCATTGAAATTGCACTTAAGTACATTCATGCAAAAGAGGAAGAAATTCACAGGAATTCAAGAAGAACCTTGTTTCTATCCTTAGAGCCCAACTCCACCATCCAACGGGCCAGACATGAAGAGGCGATAGCTCCTGTAAGAGAATCCAAACTGAATCAGTACTTCGTGGCCTTGTTTGGGAGTGTCCAGTGCCGGAGTGGGGAGTAGACTGGTGCTAACCAAGCACGCAGTAGACTGGGGCAGGAAAGCCTCAAGAAAAACTCCCCGACTTCTGAGGAACTTTGCTTGCCTGATCCTTGTAAGATTTGGTTCATAGATCTTGAAGGAAGTGGTCAAATCGTTGGTTTTGGCCTAGATCAAATAAATGTGTTTTTTAATGTTTTATGTTTTTGTCGTTGTCTTTAAAAACCTCCTTTTGTTTGCTCCAAAGCTGCCTGTGTCTTGTCTCCGACTTCAGGCTTCTAGCCAAGGCACAAAATCTCTGAGCCCAAAGGCGAGGGTGAAGCCCACCTCGCACGGGCTCAGGCGAGGGTGACGAGATGTTCAGAACCAAAAAAAGAGCATGTTTCTTTCTTTTCTCTCGCAATTAGGCTGGAGGCCATCGCTACGACCGGGCGGAGACCATCGCTCTTAGGTTGGAGGCCATCGTTTCTATGCTGTCGCTTTCCTCTACGGACCGTAGATATCTCCAGGCCTTTCTTTCTTTTTTCCTTGTGCACTCTCTCTCTCTCTCTGCAAAGTGCCCCAACTCCACCGTGAGCGATGTCAACGCACGGGATGCGATGATGGGCAAACCAGGCGCCGCCGGTGCATCTGTCGTGGCGGGAGGTTTGACTCTTGAGCATATGGTTTCAGATCACATCTCAAATAATATGACTCTTGTGGAGAGATATCTAGTCCCCAAATTGAACAGGAACATTGCAACCAAACTGGAAATACGTTGGGGTGCTCACTGCCAGCTCGAATCGAAGCCGAGGCAGGTGATGGCTGCCTTGTCCCAAGGCGACGAAGCACCATGCGCAATGCATGACGTGCATCGAAACATGTGGAATTGCGAAACAGCTCCTAGCAGCGTCCTTTGCTCCTAGTAGTAAGGCCAGGAGCCCCTAGTAGCGTCCTTGCTCCTAGTAGCGATGCCAGGAGCCCCTAGTAGCGTCCTCATGTGGGTCCAAATGGACACATTGTCCACTGGGAACAGCACCCAACGCCAATGAAGTTCACAGCCCGCACATGATATACGTAGTCTTGGCCAGGTTGGACCTGAGTCGCGATGCAGCGACAAGCAAGAAATACGACTCCAGGCCTACATGATCTTTCCCATGTGCTACACCATGAAAGCAAAAAGCACTAAAGTATGTCATGTCATATCTCATTTGTCATTGAACACAGCCATCCACTGCATCCAGCCATCCACTTCGCATCGAGGTCTCGAAACTCTTTCACTCAAACCGTGCACACCGACGTGGACACTGGACGAAACCTACCGTACCTCGCAACTGCCGTCAAGTCGCTGTAAGGTCGGAGTATGCCCGCGCCAGGGGATCCTGTCTGGGAAACGAGCCGAGAAGCGCGGCGTGCCGAAGGATCCACTATCCACTGGTCTGAGATGTTGGGTGTGTTGGCTGTGGCGTGTGATGCTGCCCGTCGTTTTGAGCGGAAGAAGGAAAGAAAAGAAAAGTCTAAAGGTCAAAAGAAAACAAACTAAACAGAAAGAAAGGAAGGATGGTCTAGCATAGTTTGCCATTGGGTTGGAGGCCATCGCTCCTAGGTTGGAGGCCATCACTGGAAGTTGGAAGCAAGGTCTAAAGGAAAAAGAAGTGAAAAATAATAGCTGGCAAATGTGCTGGGCTCGTTGTGCTGCCGACCTTATTTTGCCTTAAAAACATTTTGAAACTGTTCCTTGTCCGCCTGTCCCGGTGTTGTGTGGCTCCCAGTTGCATCTAGGCCAGGAGCCCCGATCGTAGCGTCCTTACTAGTGGGTTGTTGTCCGAACTCAGGTTGGAGGCCTCGCATTCTTTCTCCGGTGTACGATACCAACAGCCTTCTCTTATTTCGGAAAAACTGTCAAGTCAACCTGCACTGTCTATTGGGCTTAGAAACACCAAGCGACTACGTCTGAACGCTGAGAATCTAGAAATCCCAACTGCGCCGTTTCTGTGCGTCGAATATCTGCGTCGCTTCATGCGTGCATGGTGAGTTCAAGCCTCGAGAGCTTCCAACAAAGGCACCATGATCTCCACGGAAGACCAAACGCCCTCCTCGAACACCCCAAAAACGGCTCTTCCACTCGGCGGTGGGCACATCAAATGTGGTGGTGGCATGGTTGGGGCTCCAACCACTTCGGCAACAGCTGCTTCCACATATACCACCACATTGTAGCTCTGTCCTGTCAACCATCATTGCTACAGGCTACAAAGCTTTCAATTCAGTGTGACAAACGTCAAGTGCATCACAACAAAGAGACTGTACTTTTGAGAATTGGGACACACAAAGTAGATCAAAGTAGTGCCGTCGAAGCAGTGCCTGGAATCAAAGCGCAGTCGGTGAGCTCCAGCGATTGCCTTGCCACTTGAAAAGCGCTTCAACGAGCGCTTCATGAAACCTTTCCATGAAACCTGAACCATGAGACAAAACCCTCTTCATTAGTAGCCGGAAGCTACTCGGTTGGAGGCCATCGCTATTGGGCTGGAGGTACTACTAGTTAGCTAGAAGCTACGAACGTAGCGTCTTTGCGTCCCTAAGTCCCTAGCGGTTAATGCGAACGATCATCTCAAATTCGGTTCGTCTTCACCGTCACAGGCCCCATCTGTGTCCCACCGAAGTGTCCATCGATCCTCGTCTAGGCCGTCGTGCCTTGAGTTGTCAATGGCCATCTCAGAAGGCTTGCAGCCTCAGTCTGGAAGATATAGCATCACGTGCTGGAAGAAGAAGCACTTAGGAGTAAAACATAGTAAAACAAACATGAAGTCCTAATTGACTGCCTTTGCAGCGGCATTCTGGGTCTAGTGCCAGCCCCTCCCACAGAGTGTTGCCCGAGCTTCACCTCAAAACAAAGGTAACTCAGCTTCAAAGAGTTTTTCAAGATCTGCTGAAACGTTCAGTTGCAAAGCCATTAAAGGCCTCCTTGGCGGTGGATGGGCTGGCTGTTGCAACCTGCAGAAGCTGGGCTTGCATTCGTTGCAGGCTGTAGGCACTGCAGTAGGTCGTTTTGATGGCCTCTAGAATCATGGCCCAAGCTTTGCCAGCAGCAGCGTAAGCGGTATAGGCCAGTGTGACCTTTCAGCGTACGCGTCACAGCTTTCACTTGATCTGTCGATTTCAAGGGCCGTCTGATGTGTTGCGTTCGTCCAAGTGTTGCACGCCGTCTGATGTGACATTTGTCACAGGTGTCCTTGGATATGCAGCTGTCCAGCGAGCGCCCTTCGCCCTTCGAAATCCCACTTGTAAGGTCTTTTTTTTTGAGCGCGTGCCAGCAGCAGAAAGCTGCCAAACTTAACACCTTTTAGAAGCGAGTTGTACAAAGCCTGCTTTTTTGAAAACGGATCTTGTTTAGGTTTTTCTTTAAAGCCCGCTCCTACTTAATTAACTAGGCACCTACTTAATGAAGTGTGGCGACTAGTTCGCTACTAGACTAAGTTAGCTTCTAGCTAGGACGCAGCTCACGCTTGTCTTTTTTTTTCCTGCCGCCTCCCGGTCCGTTCGTCTGCAGACAACCCCAGGAGGCCGCACGGAACTTCGATGAAGTAGTTGCTGGTCACCGCCGGGACCACCTCGACTCGACTGGGCTGGGCTCTAGTTCGACTGACGGACGGGCGGACACTGAGAAGACTGGCCGTAGAAATGCTGGAAATGGTGCCATCGTTCAGGCCACCCATATCCTGGTTGCAAATGAAGGCTCAGTCAACATGACAGCGAACATGTTTTCGGACCTGCGGAGAGTGCAACCCTCCAACCTGATAGCGTCCTTGTTCCTAGTAGCAAGAATGCTACTAGTAGTAATGCCCTTGTTACGAACGTCGCGATGCCCTCCTTTGCTACAAGAGTTCGTCTTCACCTTCCTACTTCGTAGCGGCCAATTGGCGACCGAAGAGTTCCGGCATGATGAGACTCTCCTCAACATAGAGCACAGTGCTGTATTGAACTGCAGGAGTGAGACCTGGACGCATCGCCCCCACGACGTTCGACACAAAGAGATGACGGACAAAGAAAGACAGGTCCAACAAGGTCTAGTAAGGTAACAATATAGTTTAAGAAAGAACAATAACAAAAAACATAAAGAAAGAAACGGATTTATTGTGATTCAAGATATACACACCGACTTCTCTGGGCTTCGTTCTGCATCCCGACAGGCTCCAGTAAAGCATGCTGGTCTCAGTGGAGATGTGCAATTCCGAAGGATATGGTCAAGTCTCGTCCGTTTCACGACATTCGATAGGCCAAAGTGACAACATTCCATTCCTACACCAGGTATTTGAAGCAGTTTCTTTGAGCCCAACTTTTTGCACTAGGGGCTCCGGGGCTCCTGGCCTTACTACTAGGAGCGATCGGACGCTACTAGGGGCTCCTGGCATCGCCACTAGGAACAAGAAGCTACTAGGGGCTCCTGGCTCATCGCCATCTGCAATGGCTCGGTGGCACTTGGTGAGATTGAAATCGTTCGACTCCAAGTTTCCCACGCCCACGTTCACGTCAACCTGCCGGCAGCCCAAGCCGCCCAAAGCATAGGTTGCTGCCTGCCCATGCAGACCCTCATCCAAGTCTTCGGCTGTCTTGATGTTTTGTAATAAATTTAATAGCCATGGCCTCCAACCTAATCGCGATGGCCTACAACCTACTAGCTTCTTGTTCCTAGTAGTAAGGCCAGGAGGAGCCCCTAGTAGCGTCCGATCGCTCCTAGTAGCGATGCCAGGAGCCCCTAGTAGCTTCTTTTTCCTAGTAGCGATGGCCTTCCCAAGATCCATCCAGCTTGGCCTTGATGCTGGAGGCCGTAGCAAGAGGCAAATTGGAGGTCAACACGATTTGTGCCTCTCAGCGGGCAACGAAGTAGCACTCATCAAGTGTGATTGGAGGTCAAATACGTTGCAACCGCACCGTGGCTTCATTTTTGCAAGAATGTGCAACCGCTTTTCCCCTTAGAGACTCTCTCTCTCTCTCGCGACTTCAGCTCGAATCATAGTGCAGTATTTAGTCACATCTGAGGACCTGCCCTACCGGGTCTGCCTGCCCTTACAACTTACAAAAAGGCATCTACTTGGGTAAACGCCAAGCATCACCTAATTGCTCACAAGAAGAATCACTTCGTTCGTTTGATGAGATGTGCGGTACTTTTGTATATTATTGCTTCCTGAAATGAAGCCTCTACAGCATAAAGGGTAGATAGATAGGTAGATAGACCTAAGGCCAACCGGATGGGTCCCCAACCCAGGCTCTTCCAATTGGAACTCCCGCAGCAAAGGAGAAGGACACATCACTCACCTCAAGGACTGGAAGATTCCTCAAGTCTCAGCTCCATTTTGCTTGACCACTTCAGTTGGTGAGAGAATCAAGGCATCCCAAAGAGAATAATAATCAAAAAACGAAAAGGTTAGAAGCTACTAGTAACAAGGGCATCACTACTAGCAACTAGAAGCTACTAGTAACACGTGCATGGCTCTTAGTAGCAAGAAGGTACATGGCTCAAGAAAAACCTCTGCGTTCACTCACTCTGCGTTCAACATCTGCCGTCTGTGTGGTCCCGGCCGTCGGTGTGTTGGTCAAGACCAAAGGGGTAGCCAGCCAGTTGGATGCTGGGACACTGAAGGCGATGGCCTCGGACAAGTTGAATTACTCATTGACCGCACTCGCTCCATGGCGAAGAAAACAAGTGGTGGAAACATATGGAAACATGGTTTGTTAAAGTATACAAGAGCCCTTGTTACTAGTAGCTTCTAGCTAGTAGTAGTAGTAGTAGTAGTAGTAGTAGCAGTAGCAGTAGCAGTATTAGCAAGTCTCCAACCTTCTATCGATGGCCTCCAACCTAGTGGCGTCCTTGATACTTATAAGTTGGTTCACTTAAAGATTTGGCTCGACTCCTTTGAAGGCTTCTGTAACTGTGCACCTTTCTACGTCTCTTGCAACTTCAATAGTCTGATTGGGCTGCCCAAACCTGGCTCAAGGCACCATCTTGGTTGGCATTCGTGTCTTCAGCGTAGAGGTAGGCCTGTCTAGCATCACTCGTTGGGGCTATCTGTGCCAGGTGGGCCCTCGCAAGCAACACGGCCTCTAAAATAGTCTTTGGACCTTTGGACGCTATGCTTGGTGGAGGCCATCGCAAGTAGGTTGGAGGCCATCGCTACGAACGGAACAAGAAACTACGTTCGTAGCTATTTGCTACGTTCGTAGTGATGGCCTCCAACCTACTAGCGATGGCCTCCTAGTCAGGATAACAGAGCTTCGAGTCTGAGAGGCTTGGCCACAAAGAAAGCTGAGCTCTGAAACTCTCAACTGTCAAAGCCAACCTCGTAGCTCTCTCCCTTGGTGAGGTTGCACCTTGCGCCCACGATGTTAGGAACTGCTCCTAGAAACTGCTACTTACTAGTAGCGATGCCCTTGCTGCTAGTAGCGATGCCCTTTGCTCCTGGTAGCTTCATGTTCCTAGTAGTAAGGCCAGGAGCCCCGATCGTAGCGTCCGATCGCTCCTAGCGATGCCAGGAGCCCCTAGTATCTTCCTTGCTCCGTTCGTAGCGATGCCCTTGCTAACCATCAACAATGAAGCACAGGTCCTAAGCTACCCACATGTCGAAGACCATGATATGGATGCCACGAGATGCTGCTGCATCAGTGTCACCACAGTCGATCCCTGGCAGACAACATTGCTCAGTCGATGCTCTCCTTTCCCTCTGATTTTCTTAAAACCTTTAAACCATTCTGTTCGTTGTGTTCTCTTCCGATTCAGCAACTCCGAGTTGAAAGAACACGTCCTTCGAATAAGCACCCCAGCCTCCAACACCAATGGCCTTGGCAACTCTAGAGCTTTCCTACCGTTGTCAAGGCCATAGAAGCATATAGAAGCTAGTGCTTGGGTTGTCTGGAGTCTTAGAACAAAGACTTCAGGTCTTGGAAACGGCGAAGAGCTTCAAAAAAAAAACTGTGTTCAAGAAGAAAACAACTTGACCTGGCCGTGCCCCTTAATTTGCAATGCTACAAAGCCTTTGTGGCACTCAGATCTGCGGAAGGCTTGGGGGAACCCTCTAATTACTGTTCACTATTAGGTTGGAGGCCATCGCTTCTAGGGTGGAGGCCATCGCTACTAGGTTGGAGGCCATCGCTTCTAGGGTACTTTTGCCTCCGGCAACGACATGTATTCCGAGTGGCTGGATTGTCGTTGCGGACGACATCGAGACTCACCATTGGTGCATGCGCAGCTTGGACAACACGACCCCAGACCTCACGGTGGACCCGGCCGTTCGCTTTGGCTTCCATCCCTTCCCGTACAGAGCTTTCTGCACTGAGTCCCTAATTGTAAGAAGACTTGCTTGGAATAAGGCCCATGAACGCTACTTAATACATGATTATAAATGCCTTTTGCCTTTTGTGGCTCAGCTCATCATCGCGTTTCTTCCCTTTCTCCAACTCTTCCTCCTTTCTTGCTTCCTTCCTTGTGTTCTTTCACATTGAAACAGCTTTGTCTTGTCTTGGATGCCTTGGTTCGACTTGTTTCTGTTTCCTTCACTTGTCTCATTCTGGCCTTGCCACTGAGTTGTGCAACCTGCATCAATGGCCGGCTCTAACCGAACAACTCAGTCATTGACCCTTCAGCCCACTGAGTCTGAGTCATGGAAACCGGGCCTCGTATTGGATACTGAGGCCATAGGGCGTAATGTCACTGACAATCACAGCCTGATGTGAGTGATGTGGCACAAATCCACAGCCAAACGGCCGGTTGAAGACACAGCCAATGCTAAGACTCACACCGGTGCCACAAAGGCATTCGAGGTGGGCACTTGCAATGGTAGGTTCCTTGGTATCGAGGACAAATGCAGGTGGCTCTTAGAAAGTCTCGTTCGGAAGAGCTTCATGATCAAAGCCATGAAAAGCACACGAGGCCACAAGGCGGAATATCCTAACGTGACGATGCAAACCCTGAGGCTTTTTCACAGCCAACATGCCATCGTTCAAGTAGCCAACAGCCTGCATTGCATACTTGGCGTGGTCCACCACAAAGCTTTGGTGGAAGATCAGAATTAGTT